TATATTTGGAACCTGTTTAATTAGTTCTATCACATATGTGATAATGACTGACACCAATATTGTCCTTTAAAATCCTTCCTTGTACAGTAACTGAACATTGTGACACTTAATATTACTTAAAGATGAATCACGTAAGATTTAAATAAAGATCTGACCGTTTTTGCTTTAATAGTTTCGATCACGCAAACTGAATATGTTGAAAATTGCATTCAGATTACTGTATTCCGAGCACTGTTTGAGGTTTTGACAAGATGTATCAGTGATTGTTTATTGTCTTAACAACGGTTCTTGATATTCGAGACTCGATTCTCCATTTTTAAATTAAATTATTAAATGGCGATTGTACTTCAAATCTCGTGCATCTGAGCCCTCCGATGATCTAGAGAGTTTGTTATAGGCTAGTCATGTAAATGAATAAAAAAAATTATATAACATTTCAAGCCAAAATAAAAACGTGCAATAGTCAGATTTAGCTTTTACATAATGCCATGATTGAGTAAACTGCAGGATCGCTAGCAAGGGGGTCACGGTTAAGTAAAGTGTGGGTTCCCTAACAGGATAGCCACCGTCGAGTAAACGGTTGGTTCCCCCAATAACTGCATAATAACACCCAATAACTGCACAATAACACCAAATAACTCCAAAATTCACACTTTTGAATAAAAAAATAACAATTTAATTGAAAAGGTGTCTGCTTTTTGCCAAAATTGGGCTTTCGCGATATATCGTGTGAAGGGACATAACTCATCTCGTGTATGTTGATAAGGGCATAATGTATGCTTTCATTGTATTTTGGAGCAGACTATCGCATAAACGCCTCGGAGGGTTGGGTGGCCGAATGGTTAGCACGTGCGCGCTGTATCATAAGGCCTGTCATTGAGTCAACTGACGTGGTTCGAATCCCCGGTTGTAAGTGACAAGGGGTAGGGTCGCCTGTCCAACCTCGTGGGTTTTCTCCGGGTCCTCTGGTTTCATCGCCCACTGCTAAAGACCCCTATGCGCAAGCGAATTATTGAAATAAAATTAAACCATATGTTAGTCCCGAAATGACCTAGTTTGTGTTGAGTGGACGTTAAACGACATTACTCTCTCTGTCACGTTGGATTGTTCACAAATATTACAAACCTCCAATGCCACTCACGGGGGTCTAAACGTCGCCACAGCCACAATCAATCCTCTGCTTGACCATATGGCCATCTTTAATAATAATAATACGATTCACATTTAAATAATTATTTGATTTCTCGCCCATAAAATGATTAAATTATTATACATAGGGGGATCACGTGGCTAAGTGGGTAAGACGCTAGCTCGCTGGAGGTCGGGTGTTCGATCCCTACATTGGCCGAGAAAGTTCATCCAGATTTTCCGGCGTGGTTCTCCCTTGTCAGTGACGCAGGACGGAGGGACTGACAAGGAAAGCTGTCTAGTCGTTCGGATGGGAAGAAAAACCGAGGTCCCGTGTACACATTGGCGTGCACGTAAAAGATCCCTTGGCAGTTGGAATTCGATAATAGAGTAGGCCGCAGTGTCGCTGTCCGGGCAAAATTTCCCTCATAGCACACTGTATGGCGCATGCCCGTCTTCATTAGCCCAGGTTAGGAGCAGAACAGTAGGACGTTAAACCCCATTGCATTTCATTTCCTTATTTCAACAATTTTCTTTCATTATTTGAGCTTCATTCATTATAAATAATCATAGACTGGATAACCTGCTCTAATACGTCAGACTCGCTCCTAGGTCACTCCTTTTCTGACTTAAAGTCAAAATAGCGCAGTGACGTAGGAACCAGTCTGACGTCATTTAGAGCAGGTTATCCAGTCTAAAATAATGACAAATACATTGCAGTAAATATACAGGTACGCTGCTATTCGATGATACGGAGTTATTGGGTGTTATTGGGAGATATGCTGCTATTGGATAGGAGTTATATAGAGGATATTTGTCGTTTTAGAGTGAATAACATATTTTATTTCATCGAGAAGCAAGAAAACTTATATTTTCACGAATGCGTAGCATGAGTGAAAATATAAACGTTTTCTTGCTTAGAGATGAAATAAAATATGTTATTCACGACAAAGCGACAAATGTTCTATTTATTTTATGATTTTACAATGATTTTAGGTAAAAACAACATGGACTACTGCTAGCCAGTGGAATAACACTTTTATTTCACTGATAAAACGCGGTATTCCACTACTGATCATAAAATAATGGGTTTTATTTGGCGATGTGCAGCTATTTGATATGGGGTTTATGCGATAATCTACGCCATGCCAAAATACAATGATACAATGAAAACATAGTTTTTGTTCTTATCAACACAAATGGAGGCAGACCATCATTAAATTTCGCCATCTCGCTACTCGTAGTTCATCTATTTATATCAATGCCCTATCTGTCTCTTTTTTCATCTTTTCCATGCCCATTTTTGTTGATTTTTTGGTCTAGAATGGACGAAGAGGGTTTGAATTAACATTTTCTGCCAGGTTTTGGTAAATATTCATAATTTTAAGGCGGAAGGATAACAGAGTTATCAAGTTGGTTACGGTGATATGTACGGTGAATAGTTACATGTTTTTTAGTATGATTCTTCAAGTTTGTATATCTCAAAATTTTGGTGGTCAACTTCATACAAATTTTAATGCAAAGACATGACCAATTGTTCCTGTCTGTAGTGAAAAGTATTCAGTCCAACGAAAATTTGGGGAAAACTTGGAGGTGGGCAAAGAGGCCAGAATTAACATTGAAGTCCATGGGGAAATTAATGGCGGTCTGCCTCCATTCTTTATCAGTATTTAGTGAAAATCGGCCGAAAATCGGGGAAATTATTGGTGGTCTGCAACCAAATTTCATACACGAGTTATGTCCCTTAACGCGAGTGAGCGTGACATTCCGATTTGGCATTGATTTGAATATAATCCCTGGGTTAGATGTTAATAGGCTTAATGTTAATCTATCAATGGTAGTATATACAAACTATGAATAGTAGTCAACAATAGTATTATAGACAACTCATAGCAAAATTGAAGAGACATTACATTGGATTGTGGCGATCACGGTGGCTAAGTGTGTAAGATGCAGGACGGAGGGCCTGACAAGGACAGCTGTCTAGGCGTTCGGATGGGACGAAAAACCGAGGTCCCGTGTAAACATTGACGTGCACGTAAAAGATCCCTTGGCAGTTGGAATTCGATACAAGAGTAGGCCGTAGCGCCGCTGTTCGGGCAAAATTTCCCTCGTAGCACACTGTATGGCGTCTTCATTAGCCCAGTTTCGGAGCAGAACAGTAGGACGTTAAACCCCATTTCTTTTCATTTCGTTTCATTTTACATTGGATTTTACGGGGGGGGGGGGGGGTGGATGGCCGGCGAGGGTGCTTATTGCTTGATAATGGTGAGAGACTCTGATAACAACAATTAGCTTTATAGATACCATTCACTAGGTTTATATATCACGTCTCATTGAGGGGCTGGGGTGGAGCGGATGGCCGAATGGTTAGCGTGTGCGTGCAGTATCATAAGGTCGGTCATTGAGTCAACTGACGTGACAAGTAGTAGGGTTGCCTGTCAAACCTCGTGGGTTTTTTCCTGGTTCTCCGGTTTTCTCTCACTGCTTCCACAGCTAAAGCGCAAGCGAATTATTGAAATAAAATTGAACCATGTGCTAGTCCCGAAATGACCTAGTTTATGTCGAGTGGATGTTAAACGTCATTTGTCTCTCTGTCATGTTGGAATGTTCACAAATATTACAAACCTCCAATGCCACTCACGGGGCTCTAAGCGTCGCCACAATCACTCCTCTGCTTGACTAAGGGACATTCGTTGGAACATTCACGACATTAATGCAGGCGAGATTTTGTTTTAGATAATGGGAGATTCAGCTTTCAAACGCAAAGAAATGGATGGATAATAAATGAAGAGTCCAGGGGAAGAACGATCTAAGTCACATTTTTGTCTTTTCGCATGAAAGGCAAAACAGACTTTTGGACGAGAATGCTTGACGCGAACAGAACAACGAGTGTGTTTAATTACAACTTCAAAATGATGTTTAATACGAATCATAATTACCAGTACAACAACTGACTTCAACTTTTCAGTCAAATTAAGATCAAAGAAAGAGAAGGATGGACGTTTGTCCGGGGGTCATTTCAGAAGGGCCTTGGTTCGATGTGACTCCGATCGTTTTTACCTGAAATTGATTGTTCTACAGAAAGCTCATACAATTTGCTAGCAGATTGCGCCATTAACTAGGGTTTGCTGAAAAAGTGACTTAGATCATTCTTCCCCGCTGCTCTTCAAATATTTCTCTTGAAGTTTATTGAATCCGGTGCATACTAAACTAACACTGTCTGTCTACAGTTAGCTCTGCTTAAGAACAGACACTAAGCTAGTTGACAGACATTTTAATTCCTAAATCGACGCTTTTACTCGAAAACACTACTTACTATGCTACCATTTAATACAATTGAAAAGGATTAATTATTATTTTTTGTTTGTAACAGGCCCGCATTACAAACAGTGTACTAACCGTTGGATATGGCGACCAGTTAGGGCATGGGTATCACTAGCTTCGAATAAAAAGTCACACCTGCCTCAATTAAAGTTCATGCGAGAATCCCGCCCGCCGCCCCCTTCCCCCGTCTGACACCGCCAATGCTCAATACGTTATTCATTACATTCAGCATTAACTTTATTCTAGCCGGGTTGTCTCTTTAACAGGACGCCCTGACCCAGTTGACTCTAAATAAACTGCATACATCACAAACTGTAACGTTTGAACGCGTACTAAACTTATTCAATATAATACAATATCTATGAAATGTATACCCAGGTTAAACACATGTATATACAACACGGCTATTTAATAACTTCAGTCAATATAGATTTCACGTTTTATATTTAATAAATTTACATTTAAAATAGATAGTGTTTAACTGTGACCGTGTTAATATATTTAGTAAACACAATATAAACTGGTATAGTGATTGACTATGACTGTGTTAGATTTAACGTGTATAGTGTTTTACCGTGACCGTGTTAGAGTTAACGTATATAATGTTTAACTGTGACCGTGTTAGATTTAACGTATATAGTGTTTTACCGTGACCGTGTTAGATTTAACGTATATAGTGTTTTACTGTGACTGTGTATGATTTAAGGTATATAGTGTTTTACTGTGACTGTGTATGATTTAAGGTATATAGTGTTTTACTGTGACTGTGTTAAATTTAGTGTTTAAATTTAGTGTTTAACGGTTATAATTAATAATAACTGCAGAAGAACACCACAACATAAAAACAGACGGAAACCAGTCGAAAACAAACCCGTGTACACCACACACAACACAGGGAACATTACCAGCAATAAATAACACATCAAGTGCTATCAAATCAAGTGAATGTGCGAGAGTCGTAAGTGTGTTCTGCCCCGGGTTTGTAATACAGTGTGACTATGATATATCTATAATGTGGGTGTGATTAACTGTGTTATATTTAATCAATTCCTGGTTTAATCAAATAATCAAGGAAACTTGTAGAAGTCTGATACTCTGTTTGAGGTTTGTAGAATATGTATTTAAATTAAATTATATATATGTATTTCAGATGGTACAAAAAAAAAACCCGTGGTGCGTGGACTCATTTTGGTGTACGTAATAGAACCCTTAACAGTGGGAATTTGTTATAAGAGTAGATCGTAGCGCCGCTGTCCGGGCAAAATTCCATACATAGCACGCTGTATGGTGGCTGTACGTCTTCATTCTGAGTAGGAAATTAAGATGTTAAACCCGATGGGTGGGGGGGGGGGGGCACGGTGGCTAAGTGGGTATGACGCTGTTCCATCACTGCACTGGCCGAGAAAGTTCATCCAGATTTTCCAGCGTGGTTGCCACTTATCAGGGATGCAGGACGGAGGGCCTGGCAAAGACAGTTGTCTAATCGTTCGGATGGGACGAAAAACCGAGGTCCCGTGTACATAAAAGATCCCTTGACAGTTGGAATTCGATATAAGAGTAGGCAGTAGTGCGGCTGCCCGGGCAAAATTTCCCCCATAGCACACTATATGGCGTATGCCCGTCTTCATTAGCCCAGTCGGAGCAGAACAGGAAGACGTTACACCCCATTTCATTTCATTTCGTTAAACCCTATTAGATTAGCCCGCGTAGTGCCCCTGCGTAGTGCTGCTGCCCGGGCAAAATTTCCCTCATAGCACACTGTATGCTCGTCTTCATTAGCCCAGTCGGAGCAGAACAGTAGGACGTTAAACCAGGTTTCATGTAACCATTGATATATATATAATATTGTGTAAGTCTCAACCTCACCGAAGTCTCGTGTTGACGAGACGTTAAAGCCAAGATACACGTTGATTATATAAGAATAACTTTACAATAACCATGTTTACATGGTACACCTGTCTCGTGGTTCTATTTATAGAACGTGACACAAATAATAAACTCCTTATAATAACTGTATAGAATATATACAGGTAGGGCAGAGTAGAATACAGGTAGATGTAAATACAGGTAAATACAGGTATGCTAAATTATATAGATCTTAAGAGTTAGGACGGAGAGTAAAATACAGGTGTAAACACAGGTACATTAATAGATGTCAATAGCTATAGCAAGACTTAAAGAGTGGGGAAGCGGGACGGTGGGTATAAAATTTACAAGTCTCGACAACCGAACACCGCTGCTTGGTATTGTACAGTGCAGTACAGCTTACTTAGTTTATTAAGGACTAACCGCTAATAAATTTGTAGGGTAACGGTGCCACGGTTTGTGTCTGATCCGAACCGCTGCTTGATATTGTACAGTGCAGTTTTTAATGTCGTTCCATTGGAGTGATGATTTAAACACACATTCACATCCGGAATTAGGTTATCAGTCAAATTCGTGAAATATTTGTCAGAAATAATATTATGGCTTCGATTTAAATAAATGACACTAACTAGGTCGGAACAAACATTTTATTTCAATAATTCGCTTGTGTGTAAGTTTCTTAAGTAATTGTAAAAAACTGGAGGACCCGGAGAAAACCTACGAGGTTGGTAAAACAATCCTACAACTCATCACGTGATTCACCCACAGATCTTATGATCTAAAGCGCACGTATTACACCGCTCAGTCACCGAACCCTGCCTAAAATAGTGGGAATTCTCTGTTGGCTATGTCAGTTTTTTCTCACATACAAAGGGGGTTTGGATGGCCGAATGGTTAGCACGTGCGCGCTGTATCATAAGGCCTGTCACTGAGTCAACTGGCGTGGCTGTACGTGACAAGGAGTAGTGTCGCCTGTCCAGCCTCGTGGGTTTTCTCCGGGTCCTCCGGTTTCCTCCCACTGCTAAAGACCCCTAAGCGCAAGCGAATTATTGAAATAAAATTAAACCATATGTCAGTCCCAAAAGGACCTAGTTTGTGTTGAGTGGACGTTAAACCCCATTTCTCTCCTTCTCTCTCTGTGTAAATGTTGTCATTAATTTGTAGATACTAAACACTTTCTACATGTATAATGTATACTGTGTAATGTATAAAAAGTTTATATACGTACATGTACATTGTGCAGGTGTACTATAAGACAAAGGGTTGATTCACTCAACCATGAAATGATTACACAGCTTAAAACATAATACTAATACAGAACTCATCACGTGACACACACCAAAACACAAAAATCTGTTTATTTAAATTTTGTGAATTAATAGGGTGCGGTTTCTAATTTCTCAGTTAAAACGGTGTGTTTTTCGACTATTAGATTTTAAAAGTTACTAGGGCGTGATTTGTTATTTTTATTGTTTATTAGTCAATAGTGTGTCATTTGTTATTTTTATTGTTTTTTAGTCAATAGTGTGTCATTTGTTATTTTTATTGTTTATTAGCTAAAGGCTCAATACCACTCTTGTTGTAACTGAATAATATGTCCCAATCTTTATTCTGGTCAACAAATTGTACTATTTTACAATATTCCAATTAATTAATGATACAAATTTCCTCTTAACACATCTAATTTAAAAAATTGGAAAAATTCAATTAAATTATTTGAAAAGCCTGATGTAAAGCTTTTCAAATGTGACTTGGATTTAAAAATATTTTTGAACCCTCTGGACAAGCAAAATAGGATTTAATGGATAATTTACACAACAGGTAGGACACTAACACATCTAGTACTTAGAATAAGGCTATTTTTTATTTTCTGGAGCTGTCAAGCCAGCAAGAGTGTTATTGTCCCTTTATTAGTGTGTCATTTGTTATTTTTATGTTTTATTAGTTAATAGTGTGTCATTTGTTATTTTTATTATTTATTAGTTAATAGGGTGTGATTCGTAGTATTACCAAGATGGCGCAGTCGGTGTCGTTTAACGTAAAAAAACAAGGTCAAGAAAGACCACTGTATGAATTGGTGGATATGAAAGGTGGAGGAGAACTGATAGAATTAATGAAACTGGCTTCATGCAACCACGATTATTCTACGTTAGACAACGAAATAAAAAAAATACAGAAATATCTGTACGCGGATGGAGGCGGAAGATTTGTAGCTATATCCAAACTAATCGAATATAGGAAAGCCCAGAGAAAAAAAATATTACGCGAAGACAGCCATCATGCCACCAAAAAAACAACACCACAAGGTTTGTAAATTAGAATAAAATTTGATTTAAGGCATCGTTGACATCTTGGGGGGTTGGATGGCCGAATGGTGTGCGTTGTGTCATAAAGTCGGCCACTGAGTCAACTGGGGTGGTTTCGATTTCCCGGTTGTACGTGGCAAGGAGTAGGATCGCCCGTCCAACGCCGTAGGTTTGCTATGGGTCCTCCGGTTTACTCCTACTGCTAAAGACCCCTAGCGCAAGCGAATTATTGAAATAAAATTAAACCATATGTCAGGGCAGTCCCGAAATGACCTACTCTCTCTCTCTCTCTTTCTCTCTCTCTCTCTCTCTCTCTCTCTCTGACAGCTTACTTAGTTTATTAAGGACTAACCGCTAATAAATTTGTAGGGTAACGGTGCCACGGTTTGTGTCTGATCCGAACCGCTAGGCACAAATACGTAAAACAAGATAAAATATATTTTATTAACGTGTCACCATGCATACACAAGTTTTAAAACATTAATGCATATAGACGCATAAAAGTAAAAAGTAGATGTCAGTCGATGACGACTTAAAGTAGCTAAGTCTCTAACTCAATATCATCCAAAGTCTTCCAGATTGACAACACGAATAATTTGTAAATTACCACGAAAAGATTGCATTCTGATATCCAATATGTAAGACAACCCCCCCCCCCATTTTACCATTGGTATACGAACCGTTTACCATAATGCGTTTCAGCGCCATTTCTAACAAGAGACTTGAAGAACGAGGCTAGACATATTCCACAAGTCATGTCAAACGGTGACGCCATATTCTTATCTGGAGAGCATGACAATAAATACTATCGGTGTAGACTGGGATAACCAGATGCTAGAGATTGTCATTCGATTGAGACTTATGGCGTATTTCATCGAACATAACTGATTAGAAATTAATGCAAAAACAGAAACGGTTGAATGTAAATCAGTTTATATACATTCATATTACATTATTATTTGCGTTGCGACACATTTGCGTCAATTTCTAGGACCCAAATATTAGCGATTTACCTCCTTTAAGAGACAGGGTTAAAATTTTCACATTTGTATAATCAATAAATTACATAGATGGGGATAAAACAAGAAAAATAATACCAAATTATGACCAAGCTCTTTCCTAATTCATACATCTTAATAATACAAGAGGAAAAGAGGGTAAAAGCTTATGTTGGTTTGATATATGGATTAGTAATTTAGTAATTTCATTATCTAATCCCTCACGCCATCCAGAACGCAAGTTTTATAACAACTAATCCAGATCCTAATGTAATAAAGACAAGTAAAACGAAATTTTGAACTATAAAAAACGAAACGAAATAGAACGTAAATTAAATTTGTCTGTTTTGGTTTATAACATTACCCGGTTATGATTTTAACGATATATTTAATTAACGTCAACCTAATTTTAACCCTATCTTTGTTTTTGACGTGGTCGTGGTTTGATATGTTAACGGTATATTTTCATAGCGTTACACGGTTTTGATTTTAACCGTATCTCTGCTTTTGACGTGATCGTGGTTTGATATGTTAACGGTATATTTTCATAGCGTTACACGGTTTCGATTTTAGCCGTATCTTTGCTTATGACGTGATCTTGTTTTGATGTTAACGATATATGATGTTAGAGTGTGTCTAGAGTTATCCCCTCTCTGGACCTACTCATTTTATTTACATGCATATATTTGAAACAGAAACCATAGCCTTGTTATCTAGAATGAAGCCTGACATGAATAACGTAAATGAAATGAAATGAAATGAAATGGAGTTTAACATCCTACTGTTCTACTCCTAACCTGGGCTAACGAAGACGGACATACGTCATTCAGTGTGCTATAAGGGAAATTTTGCCCGGACAGCGGCACTACGGCCTATTCTTATATCGGATTCCAACTGCCAAGGGATCTTTTACGTGCACGCCAATATGTACACGGGACCTCGGTTTTTCGTAGTAAAGTCATATGTAATAACTTGTAGTATACATGGACGTCTGACATGGAGCACAGATCTTGAGTCCTATCTAAAAATTTGTAGTGCACATAACTTGACTGATGAGACAGAAATACCCCACCCCACCCCAGAATCGAATTGCTTTGGTGATACGTTTAAAGCGAGAATTTCATATTTTCTAAGAAAGTCAAAACATAACTATTTCTATGTCTTTTGCTCAATAGGTTGTCAACTCATTATTATACGATCATAAGTTATCTTTCTCACACTTAAAAATCATTCACTCCCGGAAATAATAACAAAATTACCTCCCTTGTTTTTCTATTCCACCCATGAAATAGCTATTTTCAAACGTTTGAATTTGAAGTTGAAAATGATTTTTTTGTTAATTTCTCAACTGGCAATAGTGAATTATAGGATTAATAGGATTATTCTTTAACAAGGTAAGACTGTAGATACCATCTATTTTAAGGCTTTATTTTAATACATTTTAGAAGTATAACTTAAAAATATGAAATTATCGCTTTAAGGTCATCTCTTTATTTCTTTACAGATACCCTATTAAGTGTGGATCTTCTCATTTATTAGGGGGGGGGGGGGGTAGATGGCCGAATGGTTAGCACGCGCACTGTATCATACGGTCTGTCATTGAGTCAGGTTTCGATTCCCCGGTTGTACGTGACAAGGAGTAGGGTCGCCTGTTCAACCTCGTGGGTTTTCTCCTGGTTCTCCGGTTTCCTCCCCCTGCTAAAGATCCCTACGCGCAAGCGAATGATTGAAATAAAATTAAACCATGTGTTCGTCCCGAAATGACCTAGTTTGTGTCGAGTGGACATTAAACCCCATCTCTCACTCTCTCTCTCTCTCTCTCTCTCTCTAATTTATTATTTTGTTGATTTTCCAGATTCGGTTAAACGTGAAGTATGTTGGAATTTGGACGAACGTGGTACGGTAGGCGAGACAATCCTTCACCTGTGTTTCTTGAACCCAACCCAGACTCACAGAGAACTGGCCAAACGTTTAATGGACATTTACCCCAATCTGGTGAAAGATATCTACAATGGTGACGAATACTACGGTAAACTACAGCACCAGCACTTTATGGACCCGGGGCTAATCCCCAACTGCTATTCATCTTGGATCCAGAGCTAATCCCCAACTGCTATTCATCTTGGATCCAGAGCTAATCCCCAACCACTACTCATCCTTGACTCGGAGCTAATCCCCAACCGCTACTCATCTTCGACCCAGAGCTAATCCCCAACCGCTACTCATCTTCGACCCAGAGCTAATCCCCAACCGCTACTCATCCTTGACTCGGAGCTAATCCCCAACCGCTACTCATCTTCGACCCAGAGCCAATCCCCAACCGCTACTCATGTTAGACTCGGAGCTAATCCCCAACTGTTATTCAGCTTGGATCCGAAGCTAATCCCCAGCCGCTATTCATCTTAGACCCAGAGCTAATCCCCAACCATTACTCATCCTTGACTCGGAGCTAATCCCCAACCGCTACTCATCTTGAATCCGAAGCTAACCCACAACCGCTACTCATCCTTTACTTGGAGCTAATCCCCAACCGTTACTCATCTTAGACCTAGAGCTAATCCCCAACCGCTACTCATCCTGGACCCGGGACTAATCCCCAACCGCTACTCATCGTGGACTGTACCAACCTAAAAAAAATAAATATTTTGACCATTTGCGAAGATAATTGTATATGTTGCATACCAATTTAATTTAGTAATTTGAATATTATATAATTTAATTTCATTTGTAGTGGTAGTGTGATTCTTAAAACATGTGGATGCTTACTAGGTTTTCGTATTTCTAAACAACAGGCGAGAATGTACTACATATGGCCATTGCAAATGAAGATAGTGAAATGGTGAAGTTTGTTTTAGATAAAGGCGCTGATTGTCGAGCCCGAGCTTGTGGACGATTCTTCTTTCCTGAAGATCAGAAAAAATCCCTAACTGATGATCCACCTAATGAATGGGTCAAGGTCTCGACAAAAACAGACTATAAGGGGTGAGTACCAACCACAGGGGCGACATTCACTAAAACTTAAACGGATGCAACTGTTTCATTGGTTGAAATTCAAAACTCAAATTCAAAAACGGATGCAGACGTTTCAATATTTAAGATTCAAAATCCTAGGACAAATTCTAGCTCTTGGCCAATGAAAGTTCAGGATTCTTGAAATATTTTGATTTAAGTTTTCATGAATTAGACCCCTGGACTTAGATTTACATTTTTTATAATGTTGATTTCAATGGTTTATCACTTTAACGTTATACTGTTTTAGCTCGCTAGCCTGGAGGTCGCGTGTTCGAACTCTGCATTACTCGCTAGTCTGGAGGTCACGTGTTCGAACTCTGCATTACTCGCTAGTCTGGAGATCACGTGTTCGAACTCTGCATTACTCGCTAGTCTGGAGGTCACGTGTTCGAACTCTGCATTACTCGCTAGTCTGGAGGTCACGTGTTCGAACTCTGCATTACTCGCTAGTCTGGAGGTCGCGTGTTCGAACTCTGCATTACTCGCTAGTCTGGAGGTCGCGTGTTCGAACTCTGCATTACTCGCTAGTCTGGAGGTCGCGTGTTCGAACTCTGCATTACTCGCTAGTCTGGAGGTCGCGTGTTCGAACTCTGCATTACTCGCTAGTCTGAAGGTCGCGTGTTCGAACTCTGCATTACTCGCTAGTCTGGAGGTCACGTGTTCGAACTCTGCATTACTCGCTAGTCTGGAGGTCACGTGTTCGAACTCTGCATTACCCGAGAAAGTTTATCGGGATTTTCCGACGCGGTTTCGCGGACAGCTGTTTAGTTGTTCGGATGGGGAGAAAACCCGAGGGCCCGTGTATACATTGGTGTGCACGATGCCCGTCTTCATTAGCCCAGTCGGAGCAGAACAATAGGAGGTTAAACCCCATTTCATTTCACTCTCACTTTCAATAGTGTACCACTTTAACGTTATATTGTTTTGGTTTCAAAGGTGTACCGCTTTAACTTTATATTGTTTTGGTTTCAAAGGTGTACCGCTTTAACGTATATTGTTTTGGTTTCAAAGGTGTACCGCTTTAACGTTATATTGTTTTGGTTTTAGCTAGATCTTGTTTTTTGACTTTGATGTTAAACTAATATGATTTTGACATTATCGTGTTTTATGGTAAACTTGTCTGTTTTGGTTAAGATTAATCAACTGTTTATAACATTACCCGGTTATGATTTTTTAAAACGGTATATTTAATAAACGTCATCCTAATTTTAACCCTATCTTTGTTTTTGACGTGATCGTGGTTTGATATGTTAACGGTATATTTTCATAGCGTTACACGGTTTTGAATTTAACCGTATCTCTGCTTTTGACGTGATCGTGTTTTGATGTTAACGATATATTTTCATAACGTCATATTTTCATATCGTTTTGATGTTAACGGTATACGGTATATTTTCATTACGCTACACGGTTTTGATTTTAGCCGTATCTTTGTTTTTGACGTTTTCATGGTTTGATGTTAACGGTATATTTTCATAACGTTACACGGTTTTGATTTTAACCGTATCTTTTTTTTGGCGTGATCTTGGTTTGATGTTAACGTTACACAGTTACATGTAGCGTTACACAGTTTATATGTTCACGATATATTTTAACAAAGTTACACAGGATTCTGTAATGTCATAATGGTTTGGTTTTAACTGCATCTTTCTTTAATGGTATAATGATTTTATTTTGAGGGTATTTTTCTATAATGTCATAATGGTTTGATTTTAAGCCTGTCTTTTTATGACATTATCCTGTTTTGAATAAAATATTAAATTGTTTGTAATATGATAAGTAGGCACTAAATTATTTCGCTGTTTTACGTGTGTATTTTTTTAATTTTTTTATTTTTATTTTTTCAGCAACGCGTACTTCGGAGAATATCCTCTCAGTTTTGCTGTAAGTTTACATAAACCATGTTCAGATTCAGACAAACGAAGATCAGGTTCCGACAATCCAGATTATATTTCATGGATTCTAGAGAAAGATCGAGAAACGAAGAAACCCGACGAACCACCTTTGATTAACTTACAAGATTCTAATGGTAATACGGTATTACATATGGCCGTTATACACGATAAAAAGGTAACATCAATAATGAAATGATATCTGTAAAAGCACAATATTCCTCACTTTACACCGACTGGTCTAATGAAGACGGGTAATACAATGGAGTGTATTATAATAAGGGAAATTGTGGCTGGACATATAATGCACATTATTCCGCATTGAAAGGCAAATATAGCCCAATGAAGTTGGACTTACGTGATACCGTGTGCCCCGACTGGTCTTATGAAGAAGGGCATAAGGCAATACAGTGAGCCCCGACTTGTCTAATGAAGAAGTACATACGTCATACAATTTCTACTGTAGGGATTTTATTACGTTTAAACGTCATTTATCCAAATCAATAGACATTTCTCGTAGCCACACCCCACCCCCACCCACCCGCTTCTAAATATGTATGCCCCAGCTAATACCCCCCCCCCCGTCCAAAGATGTATACCCCAGGTAATACACTCCCTTCTCAATATGTATGCCCCAGCCAATACCCACCTCCTTCCAAATATGTATAGCCCAGCTATTTATCGTAGCCACGCCCCACCCCCACCCACCCGCTTCTCAATATGTATGCCCCAGCCAATACCCACCCCCCGTCCAAAGATGTATACCCCAGGTAATACACTCCCTTCTCAATATGTATGCCCCAGCCAATACCCACCCCCTTCCAAATATGTATAGCCCAGCTATGTTTTTTCTCCGGTGTCTAAACTTAAGTATAAAATCTAATTAAAATTGTTTTTACCCTCAAGCAAAGATTGTTATATTTATTTTTCTATCCACATGCCCACCATTCCACGTCTAATACTTTTTGTACCAGGAAGTGGTACCCAAGCTCAACCTCAACTTATCTTCTTGTTCAACTTCATCTTGTTCTTGGTGTTCTTCTTGTTCATGTTGTTCTTCTAGATATCGTTTTCTTCTTCTTCTTCTTCTTCTTCTTCTAATATCACAACTCCAAGATGACGAGTTCGCTTGAACTTATTAATTTTAATTATTGGTATTTGTTTTCAGGAATTGCTTCAACGTTTAATGGATGAAGGTGCAGATCTGAACATTAAAAACAAGCAAGGATTAACACCGTTAACACTGGCAGCAAAGCTAGCTAGAAAGGAGGTTGGTTAATTATTAATTCTTCTGGTGTATCTAAAGAACAATGACAGTAATTTGATATAATTTAAAGGAAATCACATGTAAACTACCATATTAAGAACGTTGAATCCATATTAGGTATATCAGTCCAAATATGGTTCAGTTCCGTACAGTATTTACAAACGTATGATGAATTGAAAATGTATCCTCTTCAGACCATATTTAGGATTTGCTTTTCTTCAAAATTAAGTAAATTTTGTATGTTTGAATCTGTTCTGGAGTTAAAGAGCACAGAATTTGTGCATGTTTTATGTGTTTGAATCCATTCTGGAATAAGAGTTTGTGCATGTTTCAGATGTTTAAATCTGTCCTATAGAGATAGAGACAACAGCGGTTTTATATGTTTCAGATGTTTGAATCTATCCTAGAGATAGCCAGAATAGAGTTTTGTATGTTTCAGATGTTTGTATGTTAGAATGTTTTCTAGAGATAGAGACAACAGAGGTTTTATATGTTTCAGATGTTTGAATCTATCCTAGAGATAGCCAGAATAGAGTTTTGTATGTTTCAGATGTTTGTATGTTAGAATGTTTTCTAGAGATAGAGACAACAGAGGTTTTATATGTTTCAGATGTTTGAATCTATCCTAGAGATAGCCAGAATAGAGTTTTGTATGTTTCAGATGTTTGTATGTTAGAATGTTTTCTAGAGATAGAGACAACAGAGTTTTTGTATGTTTCAGATGTTTGAATCAATTCTGGAGTTAGAGAGAACAGAGTTCTGGAGATTTGGGGATGTTTTGTGTGCTGGCTATACTCTAGAAGATTTTGACACTATCTCAAAGAGTGGCAAAATTAACCACAATTCAGCTCTCAATCTGATTGTTTATGGGGTAAGGAAATTGATCTCCGTCGTCATTGACAACATCTATAATATAATCAATCTGTTGGTATAGAGATACACTCTACCAGAATAAACGTTTATTAAAACTAGCAGAGATCCCTTACCTTCAAGGATTCCCCGCCATGTTTCCCTTTGTCAATGGTGCTGGACGGAGCACTGGCAAGATCAGTGTCTAGTAGTTCGAGTGGTTGGCAAAAACCAAGTTGTGTGTACTCGTAAAGGAACAACTGACAGGCCTTAGCTCTGCAACATTTCCCCCAAAGCACACTCCATATGCACGTCTTTATTAGCCCAGTCGGTAAAGAGTGAAGATTGGGATTTAACGTCAACTCGACACAAATACGTTATTTTGGGACTAAAACATGTCTAAATATTATTTCAATAATTCGTTTGCGCGTAGTGACCTTCAGCTGTAGGAGGAAACTGGAGGACCAAGAGAACAGCCATGAGGTGGGACGGGCGACCCTGTTACGTGCAAGCAGGAAATCATCAATGGCAGACCTTATGGTCTAACGCGCACAAATCGAACATAGACTAGAGATAGTCGTGGTGGACTGTCATACTCTTACTGAACAACATTTTTGGACCAACCCAAGACAAAGTTTTAATTCTATTCTTCGGTTGCATTATGGTAGGTGTAGAAATGGTTTGGGGGAGGGTCGGGGTTGGTTGTGGTTTCGGTTTCGATACCTGGCTTGGTGATAGCGGCGCTTTCGGAGCCTCGTGCCGGGTACCCCGGTTACCCCCACTCCCACAGGAAATACCGATGCACATGCGTTGATATAACTGATAGGACGTAGAATGTTGTTTGATATATAACACCATCTGGTATCTATAATAATAAAATAAATATTTCCAGAAAGAACAATCACATATTGATAATAAAATAAATATTTCCAGAAAGAACAATCACATATTAATATGATAGATGGATTGGTCAAGAATATGCTGATCGATAAATGGAAAATATATATTCGACCCGAGTAAGTCAATTTATACAATTTCTCAAAACTATCGATTATATCTGGTTTTTTTTTGTTATATTGGATAGCAGCACATGTTGGTTCTGTCTGTGGTTTATTGTGCAGTTCTCCTGTATATTAAAATCAATGAACTATATTACTATTATTTTGCCCTATGCCCGTACAAAATGCCACTGTGTGGCATGTCTTCATTACCCCAGCGTAACAGTAGGACGTTAACCCCGATTTCATTTGGATTTTCATTTCAGGTTTTATATGAGATGTGTGCTGTTTGTGATATACTATGTGATGGCAGCGGTTGCCATCGGATTAAGACCAGGGAAGGATTATTGTATCGATAGGACGGTGCCAGTCAATTCGGATTATTGTAATCGATCTGAGATCAATATATCCGTCAACTCATGTTATCTTTATAAACCTTATAGAACCAAAGACACGGTGAGTATTGTAACACATTTATAACAACCTTATAGAAACAAAGACACCGTGAGTATTGTAAGTCATTCATAAGGAATGCTCGCTATGCAAGTCATTGGTCGGTCTCGTGTGTATACGTTACAATATATTAGAAGAGTCTACGGGGGCTCGATAGTCTGAAGGTCTCGTGCTCAATCCCTGTGTCGACCGAGAAGGCTCATCTGGATTTTCCGACGGGGTCTTCCTTTGTCAGTGTAGGACGGGGGCCTGACAAGGGAGAACGTATAGAAATGAAATGAAATTGGGTTTAACGTCCTACTGTTCTGATCTGAACTGGGCTAATGAAGACGGGCGTACGCCATACAGTGTGCCATGAGGGAAATTTTGCCAGGGCAGCGGCACTATCGCCTACTCTTATATCGAATTCCAACTGCCAAGGGATATTTTACGTGCATTCCAATGTATACACGGGACCTCGTTTTTTTGTCTCATCTGAAGGACTAGACAGGTGCACCACTGACAAGGGGAAACCACGTCGTAAAATCCGATGAACTTTCTCGGCCAATGCAGGGATCGAACACCCGACCTCCAGGCTAGCGAACCAGCGTCTTAACCAACTAGCCACCGTAGAACGTATAGTTTTTCGATATAAGGGTAGGGGGTAGCGCCGTTGTCCTACCACAATATCCCTCATAGCACAATGTTCCCGTCTTCATTAACGCTGTAGAAGTTGAACAGTAGTACGTTTAATCCCATTTCGTTTCAATCCACGTTACAAGAAACATGATAGGATGCCCGAACCTCGGTGGTTTTTACTGCTACTACCACTGACATCCTCATGTGGGTAAGAGATGTGATGATGGCCGGGGTTGGTCGCATGCCCACAAGACTCAAAGTATAGGGTCTAATACTAAGTGAGAATGGAAAACATTTGAAATATGTAAAACAACTGACATAGACTGGTTGTTCAAATTAAATATAAATAAGCCACATAGGTTATGTTTGGTGCCCCAATTGGAAGGCCCACTGAAATGATTGCTGACAGTGTCACCATTTCTGTCCCCCTCCCTCGTCCCCTTTGTACACTGTCAAAGTATGACGCCGAAGCTTGATGCAGGAATATAATGGCCATTAACCCAGTGTCTAGAAGAATGCATCAATATGATACATTTATATTATTTATTTCATAGATTCGGATCGTCCTAGAAGATTACGTGTATTATTTATTTCATAGATTCGGATCGTCCTAGAAGATTACGGGTATTAATTTTGTAGATACGGATCGTCCTAGAAGATTACGTGTATTATTTATTGTGTAGGTACGGATCGTCCTAGAAGATTACGTATATTATTTATTTTGTAGGTACGGATCGTCCTAGAGATATTAGTATGGTTGTCAGCGTTGCTGTATCTGATAATAGCTATATACAGAATTAAACATCAAACACTCGCTGGATTCGGCAGATCACTGGTCAGTTAAATAACGAATGGATTTGTTTATTTCTTTTTTTATTTACGGGTGGGTGTGTGGTCGGGTCGGGTAGGGGTGTGGTCGGGTTGGGTGGGTGTGGTCGGGTTGGGTGGGTGTGTGGTCGGGTCGGTCGGGTAGGGGTGTGGTCGGGTTGGGTGGGTTTGTGGTCGGGTCGGGTAGGGGTGTGGTCGGGTTGGGTGGGTGTGTGGTCGGGTCGGGTAGGGGTGTGGTCGGGTTGGGGTGTCATTAAACCAAGTGTCGTGGTTCCAATCTTACCGGCGGGGTTGGATGGCTGAATGGTTAGCGTTCGCGCGCTGTATCATAGTCTGTCATTGAGTCGACTGGCGTGGTTTCGAATCCCCTGTTGTACGTGACAAGGAGTAGGGTCGCCTGTCCAACCCCACTGCTAAAGACCTCTACGCGCAAGCGAATTATTGAAATAAAATTAAATCATATGTTAGTCCCGAAATGACCTAGTTTGTGTCGAGTGGACGTTAAACCCCATTTGTCTCTCTCTCTCTCTTCTCGCCCCCCCCCCCCTCTCTCTAACGTGGAATTCGATATAAGAGTAGGCGATAGTGCCGCTGCCCGGGCAAAATTTCCCTCATAGCACACTGTATGGCGTATGCCCGCCTTCATTAGCCCAGTATAGGGGCAGAACAGTAGGATATTAAACCCCATTTCATCACATCTCTCTCTATAACGGTGTTGTCCGAGAAACCACTGTGTAGTTGTAAAGTACTGAGGACTGGGCAAGAAACAACGTCTAGTCATTTTGATGCTATAACAAAACATGTTCACGTATAAAGTTGGCCTGCTTTTTAAAAAGATTTATGAAGTCAATCGCTGCCCACCATAACACACTGTATGGCGTATGTTCGTCTTTATTAACGAACATTCAAGTAGATAGTTAAACCCCATTCCACCCATTTTTTTTACCCAGTTTAGTCTTAAAGATCGCCAGTGAAACCCGTTATCACTGCATCACACTTTATCTTACAGAGAAACGTACCAGTAAAAGGCTTATTTTTATTTGCTTGCTTGATGGTGGTCGTTGTGTTGTTACCACTACGGTTTTCCTGTCAACCTCTTGTTGAAGATTGTGCCGCAGTTTTTAGCATTCTCCTGACCACCACATATTTTCTCTTCCTCTGCCAGTAAGTTAAACAAATATTTCACGATATTATTTAAATTACGAGCTTTATTTTTTTTTAATTCTGGTTCCTATTTTTTAAATCTTTTTTGATATTCTTTTTTATTTTATTTTTTTTTAATTTCGTTCGTTTTTGTTTTTTATCGATTCTTTATCTGTATATTTTTAATTATTTTTTTCTTATTTAATCTTTATTATATAGTCTGTCTCTTAATCTTTTTTCTTTCATTTTATTTTTATAAATCTGTTTATTTTTAAATAATCTGTTTTTTTGTAGTCTGTAATTTTTTAATCTGTACCTTTTTTAATCTATATTTTTTAATCCATTAGCCCAGTATAGGAGCAGAACAGTAGGACGTTAAACCCCATTTCATTTCATTTCATTTTCTTTTTTTTCTGTTAAATCTGTTTTTAAAAAATTTGTTGTTTTTGTTTTTTAATCTGGTTGTTGTTTTTAATTTGATTTTTATTCTGTTTTATTTTTTTTTATTTCTGATTGTTTTTTTTTTAATCTGTTTATTCTTTTTTTTTAACTTATCTGTATTTGTTTTAAATCTAGTTAAGTATTTAATTGTTTAATCTCGTTTACGCTAACAATTTTATAATCCTTTTTTTTTCAGAACGTGTAATTAATGATTTCGTTAATCTGTATTTTTCCAGGGGTTTCAAATTAATGGGCCCGTATGTTGTCATGGTTTATAAAATGATTGAAAGGGATTTAGTACGTTTTGTGATAATTTACGCCATTTTTGTGATTGGTTTCGCACAAGGTAAATATTAGAGTTACCTTTTTTATAGATTGGTGAAAAGGGATTCTACATACTACATAAAGGTGGTATAAATTGCGAAATGGGGTTTGAAGTCCTACTATCCGACTGGGATCATGAAGACGGGCATTCGCCATACAGTGTACAATGGCGGGAACTTTTCAACTGGACAGCGGCGGCACGACTAGGATGCAAACGGGTTTTAGGAAAAGGGCCAATCAATTTCTTTAAAGGCAATTGTCGACACTCTTGTTACATACATAAATAGAACTTTTTAAATAAATTGAGCCATTTTTGACTTCTCTATTCGAGATTAAACTTTGACAATATTGTATTTTTTAAAGGATTCTATTAGTGCTAAAATCTTTAAGTAAATTATGTTTGAATGGGGGTTTTTTAGTTTATATTTTTTGTACTTATTTATATTTCAGCCATGTTTTTGGTATTTAGACGTACCCAGACTGACAATCAGTTCCGGACATTCCTGGAAGCCCACATGGGCATGTTCATCATGTCTGTAGGAAAGTTTGAAGATATTTTCGGAACTTTTAAAGATTCGAAACACGAAGCCATTGGAAAGGTAAAGTAACAATATTATACCAAAGCATCCTAAAGTCATCGAGGGAGTCACGGTGACTAAGTGGGTAAGACGCTGGCTCTCTAGCCTGGGGTCGGATGTTCGATTCCTGCATTGGCCGAAAGTCCATTCAGATTTCCCCTTGTCAGTAATGCAGGACGAAGGGTCTGACAAGGGCAGCTGTCTAGTCGTTCGGAAGGTGAAAAACAGAGGTCCCCGTGTACACATTGGTGTGCACGTAAAGATCCCTTGTGACGTAGTGACGCTATCCGGGCAAAATTTCCCTCAATTTTGCCTAGGTAAAAAAAACACAGGAAAAAAAGTCACAGTTTTTTTTATTACATCTCAAATTCGTTCAATAACAATATAAACAATAACATACATAGCTTCATTTCCTAAAGTCATCGAAACTGAACATCGGTTATTTTTAAATGATATAAGTATAGGTGCATTATGTAAGCGCAAAATCTGCTCATTACAGAACTTATTTTTAACTTTACATGTTTTCTTCGAAATTTATGCATAATCAACTTTCATTACTCCCGGATTGCCTCGATATTAAGTGGATTAGACCAACCGCCCCATATAATTTGTTAACTTTAAAATTAAATATCCTAAAAATGACAATCGAAACTACTTGTTATTTTAGACTAACAAACAATTAGCCTTGTATCTATTTCAGACTAACATAGGGTAGTTTTAGACTAACATTCGGTTAGTGTAGTATCTATTTTGCCCCGAAACCGAGTTTCCTCCTACTCTTGATCGAATTTAGCAATCAAAGGTTCGTCCTGCAACCTTGACCTTGACATGAGGAGACTGGCCAACACCGGTAGGATGAGCTCAACGGTAGGAGAACTCAACGGTAGGACGAGCTCAACTGCGTCACAGTTTTAAAGAATGCTTGTTGTGTGTATATTGTTTTTTATAGATAGTATTTATAGTGTTTGTACAGTGTGTGTATATTTTATAGATAGTGTGTATAGGTGTTTGTATTATATTTTATCGATAGTGTTTGTAGTATATTTTATAGATAGTGTTTGTATTATATTTTATAGATAGTGTTTGTGGTTTATAGATTGTGTTTGTATTATATTTTATAGACAGTGTTTGTGGTTTATATGTTATTGGTGACCCTATTATTAATCAATATGTTAATTGCTATGATGGCCAATACATATGATGAAATAGCTAGTACCAAGAAAGAATGGGTTAGACAGGTCAGTATATCTTGTTATTTATTGTAATAATATCTAACAGACATGTCCTTCTTTTCTACACCAGATGTGACATATTTTCTTGGAACATCTCGCTTTACGGTCTTTAATTGTTGATATAATTCAGATATTTGTTTGATGAATTGAAATGGGGTTTAACGTCCATACGCCATACAGTCAGCTAATAGGACAATATGAGAGAGAGATTGGGTTAAACGTGCACCCGACACAAACTAGGTCATTTCGATACTAACATATGGTTCAAATTTATTTCAATAATTCGCTTGCGCGTAATTGTCTTTAGCAATGGGAGGAAACGGGAGGACCCGGAGAAAACCTACGAGGTTAGATAGGCGACCCTACTCCTTGTTACGTACAACCGGAGAATCGAAACCACGTCAGTTGACTGAATGACAGACCTTATGAAACAGCACGCACGGGCTAACCATTTGGAATCCCCCTCCCATTATATAGGGAAAATATAAGAAATGAAATGAAATGGGTTTCAAGTCCTACGGTTCTGCTCCGGCTGGGCTAGAAAATACCGACAATTTTCTATCAGGGACATTTTGCCCGGGCAGCGACACTATGCCTACTGTTATATCGAATTCCAACTGCCAAGGGATCTTTTACGTGCACGCCAATGTATACACATGATCTCAGTTGTTCTTTCTATCCGTCCTGCACCACTGTCAAGGGGAAACCACGTCGGAAAATCCCGATGAACGTTCTCGGCCAATGAAGGGATCGATCACGTGACCGGAGGCTAGCGAGCCAGCCTCTTACCCATTTAGCCACCGTGGCTCCCATAAAATATAACAATGCTGCTATATTGCTGCTTCACTTGTCGTCATAGCAACAATAAAAAATCAAGCTATGTAATATTAACACAGGCTCCATTTGTTACGTATGCCATGATATTCACCACGATTGTTTTAGGATAATAATACCTAGCAACAATATAAATAGTCATAAAATATTCGTAGAGTGTTTTGTATTCTGATGACACATGAAATCAATATCATCTTGCATTAAAAAAAAGGCAACAGAAAAAAATTTCTTTTGTAGCTGTAAAATTACCTTTCTTTCAAACAAAATATATAAATTATTAATTTTTGAGATTGAACCGTTTGAAAGCGTACGTGTAAATATATATCATGACTTTGAATGATATTTTTAAGTTACAATCAAATGGCTGCCAAATTATCATCCATGTATCGGTAAAATTAAATCATGCCGAAGGTAGTGAAATGTTATGAGATTTTATGAGATATTATAATAACCGAGTATAAAGGATGTTATGAGATTTTATGAGATATTATAATAACCGAGTATAAAGGATGTTATGAGATTTTATGAGATATTATAATAACCGAGTATAAAGGATGTTATGAGATTTTATGAGATATTATAATAACCGAGTATAAAGGATGTTATGAGATATTATAATAACCGAGTATAAAGGATGTTATGAGATATTATAATAACCGAGTATAAAGGATGTTATAGTAAATGAGTATAAAGGATGTTATGAGATATTATAATAACCGTTTGAAAGCGTACGTGTAAATATATATCATGACTTTGAATGATATTTTTAAGTTACAATCAAATGGCTGCCAAATTATCATCCATGTATCGGTAAAATTAAATCATGCCGAAGGTAGTGAAATGTTATGAGATTTTATGAGATATTATAATAACCGAGTATAAAGGATGTTATGAGATTTTATGAGATATTATAATAACCGAGTATAAAGGATGTTATGAGATATTATAATAACCGAGTATAAAGGATGTTATGAGATTTTATGAGATATTATAATAACCGAGTATAAAGGATGTTATGAGATTTTATGAGATATTATAATAACCGAGTATAAAGGATGTTATGAGATTTTATGAGATATTATAATAACCGAGTATAAAGGATGTTATGAGATATTATAATAACCGAGTATAAAGGATGTTATGAGATATTATAATAACCGAGTATAAAGGATGTTATAGTAAATGAGTATAAAGGATGTTATGAGATATTATAATAACCGAGTATAAAGGATGTTATGAGATATTATAATAACCGAGTATAAAGGATGTTATGAGATATTATAATAACCGAGTATAAAGGATGTTATGAGATATTATAATAACCGAGTATAAAGGATGTTATGAGATATTATAATAACCGAGTATAAAGGATGTTATGAGATATTATAATAACCGAGTATAAAGGATGTTATGAGATATTATAATAACCGAGTATAAAGGATGTTATGAGATATTATAATAACCGAGTATAAAGGATGTTATGAGATATTATAATAACCGAGTATAAAGGATGTTATACTGGTTAAAGATGCATTTTTTAAGAGCTAAATCAATAGAATGTTTGATCTCGATTATCCAGATTTTGTAAAACTCGCCCGAAATCTTATACATATCATTAATGCGACATTTATTTACATACCAGGCCCATAATCAACTCTCTAGAACTTCACATGGTTTTAATTGTCAACAAATTTATGATTTAATGTAAAAATGACAATCGAGACTACGCTGTTCTGTAAACGAGGTTAAATCCTCTCCGTAATACGAATAACATTTTCAACATATTCCCTTTTTATTAAACATGCATTATGCAAGAGCCAATTCTGCCTATTGCAGGTCTTTCATTAGGCCAGAAATGTTATCGTAATTATTTATTAGACATTAATTAACTTATCCAGAACATAATCATCTCTCGATGTCATCGCTAGCCTGCGATATGTACTGGATTAGGATCCGATGTGCTGCTCTATGCTCATTCATGATTTAACGATTAACTGGATAATCGAGAGTATGTATTTTATCGTACCGACTTTAGTAATGAAGATCGAGGCTTGGCCGAAAATTCAATCGCTAAATTCTCGGTTCAGAGTGGATCAATTTGACTGAAATTTTCAGCAAACCCCCTTTACATTATTTAGTTTTTAGAGAAGTACCAGCTCTTAATCTAATATCACATACTGTATGTTTAACTATTTGTTTAACTATTATTTCGAGAACTGTCGGCTCTTTATATAACTCTTACATAATGCATTTTTAACTTGAACTTTAACTATATTAATAATACATGTTTAACTATATTAATAATACATGTTTAACTATATTAATAATACATGTTTAACTATATTAATAATACATGTTTAACTATATTAATAATACATGTTTAACTATATTAATAATACATGTTTAACTATATTAATAATACATGTTTAACTATATTAATAATACATGTTTAACTATATTAATATACTATATTAATAATACATGTTTAACTATATTAATAATACATGTTTAACTATATTAATAATACATGTTTAACTATATTAATAATACATGTTTAACTATATTAATAATACATGTTTAACCATATTAATAATACATGTTTAACTATATTAATAATACATGTTTAACTATATTAATAATACATGTTTAACTATATTAATAATACATGTTTAACTATATTAATAATACATGTTTAACTATATTAATAATACATGTTTAACTATATTAATATACTATATTAATAATACATGTTTAACTATATTAATAATACATGTTTAACCATATTAATAATACATGTTTAACTATATTAATAATACATGTTTAACTATATTAATAATACATGTTTAACTATATTAATAATACATGTTTAACTATATTATTAATACATGTTTAACTATATTAATAATACATGTTTAACTATATTAATAATACATGTTTAACTATATTAATAATACATGTTTAACTATATTAATAATACATGTTTAACCATGTAACAAATACCATTGTAACATGCTTAAGGGTGAATCTTGCGTTTTGATTGATCAGTTATACACTATCGATTGGACAATATCGATTGTATTTCCATATAAACTGTGTTGTGTTTTTAATGTGTTCAATCGCTAAATGCCACTCAAGGATTATAACACCCCTCGATTTTAGTAATTTCTTTTAAAATGCTAAAATATCATGTTAAAATGTTTCGCATTTTGAGGGGTGTTATTGTCCAATAGACATGTCCTGATGTTTTACATTAGAACCCGCCACGCTAACGAGTTTTGGTTCCTAATGATCTGTTCTTACGTCATGATTTATGGTCTTAGTAAAATCTTGCCCGACAATCTAAATATTCAACAAATTTATTTTAAAACAATCTTTTTAAATGTCAAAATATCCCGCAGGTGAATAAGTGAACTTCCTCTAAGAACTGTAATTTTATGGGATCGGGGGATGGAAACACATAGTAGATGGGGTTTGATTTCGCGACTAACATATTGCTTAATTTTATTTAAATTCATGTAATTTGTTTGCGTGTAGGGATCTTTACTAGTAAGTGGATGCCTGTAACCCCACAAGGTTGGACAGGCGACCCTACACCTTGTCACGTACAATCTGGGAACCGAAACCACGCCACTTGACTCAATGACACACGCGTTAAACCACCGCCCCTTCCTTTTTATGATCCGCTATTCCAAAGCTGAATGCACATTCACTCTCTTGTGGATTATTGTCAATTTTAGAGTGGGCGAGCATAAATTTGTACAGTGGGCGAAAATATATTTGTACAGTGGGCGAGGATATATTTGTACAATGGGCGAAGATATATTTGTACAATGGGCGAAGATATATTTGCACAGTGGGCGAGGATACATTTGTACAGTGTGCGAGGATACATTTGTTCATTGGGAGTGAAAATATTTGTACAGTGGGCGTGGATATATTTGTAAAGGAGGTCTGGATGTATTTGTACAGTGGGCGAAGATATATTTGTACAGTGGGTGGGGAAATATTTGTACAGTGGGCGAAAATATAT